TTTTCACAAAATAAGCCCATTTCTCTTGTTTCAATCTGGTAGAAGTCAGCTGGGACACTTGTATTCTTACAATGGAAAGACAAATCGGTCCAATGGTCATACAAGGCACATACCTCTTGAAGCAAACTCACAGGATTCCACTGAGGAATATCACAATATTCTAATATCACAATATGAGGGATGAAAATACTATATACCAACAACTTTTCTTTGAATTCAGGAAATTTTGCTATAGAAAATTAAATCTTAATTACAAATTATATTTTGTTTTTGATTTAAATCACTATACAGAAGCCCACCACAGCAAGAGTACTCGTAACTAGGGGGTCCCTATTCCTATTTTAGCATGTCCTGAAAAAATTTTTATGCCCTTTCTATTCACTGGAAGAACAAGGGAGTATTTTCCTCAAAATGAAGAACCTTCTCCACAACATAATCCGCAGAGTCACCAGTTACCTTGGAGCTGCCTTTGGCTGGCAGTCCTGTCCCCAGCCTCCACAGAGAGAACAAGGGACTCATAAAAAGGAGGACAAGGCTGCTGCTGGTCAACACTACTGCGAGCTTAAGCACAAAGTCCCTCAAGGCATCAGGTGCAGCTGTGTTAGTTGTTCTCAAAAAAAAAAAAATCCTGTTGCATTATTTAGACATTGGCATACATAGCTTTGTCCTCTCTTAAACTTCCACCAAACGGGCATCAAATCATTATTCTCCAGTGAGAAACAGCATGTCTATTAGAGGACACAAAATCCTCTTCCACTTCTGGACAAAGTCTGTTCCTTTTCATTTGAGACTGCATCATCCACCATGTTCTCAGACAAGAGAGAGGACTCCTGCCCGAAGCACGGGCACCGGCCTCAGCTGTGTGCAGTACTCAAGGAGAGCCATGATGAACCTCCCTCTGCTTCTTCACCCTCCTGTGACTGTTCCCCCGCCTCCCTGCAGTTAGTAATATGACCGTGACAGTGGCCACTGATATCAGGAAGCAGAGAGCAACAGACTCATTGTTAAATCTCTCTCTTAAATTACCAATTAACTGTTTTAAAGGGTGCTGCTGAGAAGCAATGACTCTCAATGGGACGCTTCCACGGCATGGACAGACAGACAGACACGGGAGGCTCTGCCTAGACGGACATGTTGAACAGTTGCCTCCAGGACAACAAACGACTGGTATTTAAATTATTTTGTTAGCATCACCCCACCTCCTTGGCTGACACCCCAGCTCCACACAGGTCACAGTCACCATTTTGCCGGTTTGACAGGGCCAAGCTTTTGCCTATGACAGGAGCCAGCAAGCAGCTGACTCTGCAGGAAGCAAGTACAAAATCATCCCTTAAACCAAGGATACAGTTGAGTTAAGGACATCACCAAGTTTTTAAAATAAGATTCTGGATCCCAGACAAATAAACAGTCTTGGGCCTTTGATGTACTGAGAATTCCCCTCAAGATACTGACTAGAGCGGTGTGAATAATTGATTTTCTCAGCTGAATAGCTGAAGCAACCAACCAAACAAACCCCAACTTGTTTGTTAATTAACATTTTTTTTTCCTTGAAAACTTTAAAAAAACCCAAACAAAAACGTAGTTTGGAACTGTTAAATTGTTTCATTCAAACAGAAATTGTTTCTCTTCCACTTTAAACATTTTTCTTCCAGACAAAAAATGTCTAAAAATACAGTACTATATTCATGATATGCATGATGATGCAAGGGTATGCATCCCATAAGGCAGGACATCTCTCAAGCAAGGTAACCTGAGGTGCATGGTTCCCAACTGGTGAAATCTAGAGAAACAGCCACACTGCTTTAAAATCCAGCCTCTGGGAAACACGTTCAGGTTGGGGAACCTAGACCCAAGTTTCCCTGCATACAAGCGCAATGCTGAAAAGTAACGGGAAAGTGCTACCTCTTAATTTCTGTGTTGCACACTGAAGCCTCCTCACAGATGTAACTCCTGAGTCAAATGTTCCACCTGTGAGACGTCAGAATGGCTTCTCTCAGTTTTTCTTTTACTCTGCTAAAAGGTCTGTGAAATCCACTAAAAACATCCGAATTTGTCAAGAATCTTGACTGCCCGAAAACGTACTTTCAGTGTTGGTTTCATCTGCTTTTTTTGTCAAAAAAAAAAAAAAAAAAGGAAAGTTATAACAGCCCAAGAAGCGCTGCGTTTCTCTCCAAAGAACCAGCAGAGAACAGCAGCGTTACAGTTAGCATGGCAGAACGGGACTGACAAGAAATGCTGAATGAAATCAGCCACCTTGGTTTTATCCCTCAAATTGCCAAAAGGAGGAACATACACTGGCGGGAAGTTCAGTCCTGCCCACTCACAAGGCGCACGTTTGGGTGCGTCACAGGCTCCAGCATTCACAGTGACTTCACGCTACATCATGGCGCTGCAAGCCAGTGACGCTTCTCTAGAAGGCCCCATTTCCCCACTGGCGCCGGCAGTGCCCCACTTCCCACTCAGCCTCATGGCTGCCGCCACTTGCTCACATAGGGTCATTTTGAGCCCTTCCAGCCTTTCTGATTAATAGAGGGAGTGCTGAGTATTTCACGCTATCGCAGGCTGCACACTGCTTACAGAAATTACACAATTAACCTGGTGCAAGCCATCGCTATTTGTTCAGGATGGCTCCTTGCTGGCACCGAGACTACCCACCGCATGGCACAAGTTACCCCAAACCAGCCCTGCAGTTCTGGGAAATGCAGTGCCTCAGCTCTCGACCTTTCGGCGGCTATATTTTCATTTAAAAAAATATATAGACAAGAGCAGACTACCTGTAAAATTAAAAATGAAACAGGGATAGGGGAGCGCCTGTAATATGTTGAGCCCTATTATGCAATGGAGTCGAGATTACATAACGAGGGGAGTGCGATGACAGAAACATGGCTCCCGTGACGCGGAGCCCGGCTATGATGACAGGCTGGCAGTCCATCACAGGCTACAACTCTGTAACCCAGAAATTAAATTTATTGTCAGTATTACCTATTAACCTTTCCACTTGGTATGAACGATCCAAGACGTTGAAACGTGCTTGTTACATCTATTTAACTACTAAGTTACTGGCAGCAATTTATTTCTGCCTTTTTTTTTTAAACGTACAAGCATTCTCTTTGTCTATAATTAACTTCATAAACTTCTGGAAGAATGTTATTGAACCTATTGCATTTTAAATGTGTTTATTAACGATGCACACATAAACATCCTCTGTTATCAGAAATTACTACTACTTCCCAGAACCTCTTAAGTGGTTTCGGAAAGAAAACTGTCAGATTATATAGCTTAATTTTTATTACTAATAAAACAATTCAGTGCTTTTCTTCACTGAAACATTTTATGATCCCAGTAAATCTTAATTTAACCCTCAACATTCTGCAATACTGCAGGAAGATGCTGAATTGTTAAAAAAATTCAGACAATTTAGCATTGTCCTTCCAAATCTTTGTTTAAACCAATGAGAACTATGATGTCTATAAAAAGAGATGGGTTAACAAAGAATGAGATGCTGTAAGTGTAGCTACAGAACTTCTACATACCCCATGTTCAATGTATATTCAGGCTCTTTTTTTTTTCTGGTAGATGTTTTTTATATCCCAAGGTGACCTAGGAAACTTGACCTCTTCAAATGAAGGGCTGAGAAAAATATTATCTGATTAAAAAAGGAGCAGTAGGCCCAAATCAGAGAAAAAGGAGGAAAAGCCATTTACAAAAGAGTCCACTAAATAAATAAAATTAATTTTCAGTCTTAAGAGAAACTATGCCTTTACTTCCGCTCATGCAAGCAGTTCCACAGAGGCAAACAGGAGTAACCTAATTTTTAAGCAAATGAAAAATATGTTATTTAGTCTTTTACTTAGCATCATTTACTGACAGACGTGGAGCTGTGCATGTCCCGTCCCCTGGGTTCAAGGGCATTCATTAATTTACCAGGAAAATCACCCTGTCAACAGCCATAGGTATATTGCCCACTACAATAACTATAAAGGACTAGCTATGAGTTTCACCAGCAATATTTACCCATTTATTAGAAACGGCTTATGAAACACTTCTCTTCTAAGCACATTCTGCAGGAGAAAAAGAAAAAAAAGCATAAAACGCATTCATTTATCTCAGATGAGATCCTCAGCCGGGGGAACCAGGCACCTCCTCCGGAGAGGAGAGCTGGCAGGAACCATCTAGCCGCTGTTAGCTGCAGCACATACCCGAAATTACTTGTTCCTTTCAGGCAGGGAGATTTTAAACTGGCACAACTTTGCTGGCAGCTGAAGCAGCAACTCCAGGTGTGACCCTATGCCCCACCTCTGCCCTGTGCGCCAAGCCCCAAACCCCGGAGCAGGGGGGTCGCCTCTGTTCCCCCGAGGGATGCTATCTGTGCAGGGCAGCACAAGACAAAGACCCGGGGACAGCAGCTCTACGCCAGCGGCAGCACTTCACGTAGGAGACCAGCAAGTATGGCCGACTGGTTGGTGAAGGGCAGGAGGCGGAGGACTCGAATCCCAAACCCCACTGGAGGCTGAGGGAGTCCCTTTGCCTTTGGGGTGAGGGAGGTGCCCATCGGGGGCAACAGGCATGACCTCTTGGTGCCACATGCAGCAGAGCCAAGCACAGGGACTCAAGGGACGACGGATGTTCCTTCCCTCTCCAAGCTGCCCCGTACCCCCGCTGCACTTGCCCGAGAAGGGACCCCAGAGCAAAAACACGCCTGTCCCTGCCTCGTTCCCACCAGTGACACTAGGACCTCGGTGGAGACCTGTCACCCAGGCCTGGCCAAGGTCAGCTGCAGACGGCGCCTGACCCGCCACCCTTTGGAGTTCCCATCCAAGACACACGCACGCCTGCCACACGCATGCAG